CCCCGCGACCTGCCCGCCGCCCCGGGGAGCGGCCGTGCGGCCCCTCGGCTCTGAACCAGGGAGAGTTTCAAATTATTTAAGGCACTGGCGCGGTCGGAAACAACATTTCAAGTTGAAGGTGGACGCGATCGTGCCCCGCGCATATGGAAACGCTCAGGTAAACGATTTATTTTAATACTGCCTTTTGGCAGCTGGAATTTAATCTGTTTTATTTGTATCTTTCTGCAGTTACCTTGCTGGATTCCAGATCGGTTCAGGGAGAACTGGGGTGGATAGCAAGTCCCCTGGAAGGAGGGGTAAGTTTTAAACCGCTATCTGATCAAAAGGGTAAAGGGGGTGATTAGTAACTTTCAGAGAGTCCTAATGGCTCGATTATTGTTGATTGTGGCGGAGAGGTCAGATTTCTTCCCTGGCTTACCAAGTGAATTACTCTTTGTTGGAGAAACTCTATACTCCCTTCGGATAGTTCTGTCATGGAAGAAGTGGAAACCAAAAGGGCAGAAAAGAGGTTTCAGTATTAGGAGATTGGTCGAGGCATGGGCTTAGATGCCTATTTAAAACTGAAATACCAACAAGAAATGTGATCTGACGACTGAACTGGCATTCTTGACTGTAATTATTATATCTATGGGCTGTCTCGGCTGGGAGATGTTCAGGGCAATTGCCGTTCTATTTCTGGATGAAGGAGTAGGGATCAATATACGAGATAGACCTCTTGGCTTGACGGGACAGTTGTAAACATATCAGGCTGTAAACATCGTATGTTTTGGTGTCTGAATAAATAAACTGAAGCACCTGGTGCTCCGGGGTGATTCCTTGGAGTTTCTTTTCATACGCTTTTCAAAGAGACAATTGTAAGAGAAGATTGTTTGAATTCGCTGCCCTATGGTGAGGTGATGGCATTAAGAGATTCACACATCCATTGCTGGGGCTTAGAGCCCCTTTGCTTAGTGAGCTGCAGGCAAGGTATCTCTACTAATTTAGCTTTATATTAGTGGATGAGCACCTTGCTGCTCCTTCGTCTGTGCCCTGTCCTGCAGAGTGCCATGGGCCTCTGTGGGAAACTCCTGAAAACGTTGGACTCTGGAGTCGGTGGGATCTGGTGGAGGCTGTACTTCACGGGATCTCTTGGGGTTTATTTTTGTAATAAGCAATTAGAAAGGGTTTTTCTTTTGTAAAGTGAACAATTTAAGAAAAATGCCAGCAATGCATGCTAAACATTAATATAAAAAACCCCTAAACCAACCCACCCTAAATGCTTTTAATATTAAATGAGTAAAGCAGCTTAGTATGCTGAAGCAGAAGTAACTAAGTCAAACTGATTGAAAAATAAAAGTGCTAAACGATCAGGACCTGTGCACAACAAAGCACTGGATTCTTCAGGAAGCCTACAATTTTTTTTTTTTTGTGTGCGTTCCCACTTGTAATTAGAAGAAGCAGAGCTAAGGAAACAGCAGTGAGTGGAAGGAATCCGAGGTTGCGTTGGCTGGCGATGCATTATGCATAAGCTCTGAATAACCATAACATGGGAGAATGGGGGATTGTTTTGCTCCCCCATTGTTGTTCTGGGTGAACTTGACTACAGTCCTGGCTTGGGCTCTGCCTGAGCACGCTGTGCTGTCCCCGAAACTCGGTTTTTCAAAGAGCGGGGAAGTGATTGGCAGGCCTCTGGCAGCGCCGGCGGTGCACATTCGCTGCTGATTGCGGGCAATTGCTCTCAGCTTTTGACAGTGTGGAAAGGTACAGCTCTATCTCAGGGAGAGTCGGACTTCCTTGTTAATCCTATACCCTGGAAAGGTCAGTTAATGAGACGGGGTCTTTCTATACGGCGCTCCAAGGGATATCTACGCTGTATATTAAAATAGGACCTAAAATACAAGTTTTAATAAGTCGGTAGTAGAATTGATGATCAGAGGATGGCTGTGTATTATTAATGGCTGTTGGATTCCCCCTTTTCCCCCATGTTTTCTCTGAAAGTGCCATGCCAGCTCGAGAGGGAAAATGCATGCTCTTATTGTGGACGTGACTCGCTTCACTAAACCTACATACGTGTGTTCTATTTTTAAGCCAGTAGTGAAAAATTTAAGAGTACATGGTCTGTCTCTGAGATACAGTGCTTGGAAAGCATTTATTTTAACTTTATATGCTGCAGATTTATTTCAAGCAGCAGAAATGAACTCCTTTATCTTCCTGGGAAGATTCTGTCCTTCCCTGCTAGTTTTTCTTTAAGTGTGTGTACCTTATTGTCTATGTTATATATTTACAAAAAAAAAGGTATTTTTCTAGATCTATACCAGCAGTTCCTGAGGTGCGAGAGTTGTGTGGATAAGAAGGGCTGAAGATAAACACAGTCATTTAGCAGGGACTGGCAGTAATCAAATATATAGTAGCCCTAGAGGAATTAATGAATTGCATTATAAATGTAATTAATGATTTACTCTTGCATTTCACAGTTGAAAAGCAGGTTTTATGCCCAGAATGTTTTACTCTGCATCATTAAACCGTGGGAAGAGCTGAATTATAAAAGTTAATTTCAGCTTGAAAGCAAAAAGTTACAGCTTTGACCACATACTTAGAGTTACAAGTCAGTTACTGTGGCTGGAAGTTTGGGGCTGGAGTTATTTTCAGCTCTGTCAGTAAGAGACACTTAAGTTTGTTTTGTGTACGTATGTTTATGAAATAAGAAACCCACCTGTGTATATTTGTGTGTTTGTCAGGAGACATGGGAGTGTTAAGAACCCAATCTGAAACTTGCTGAATTTAGTTGCACTCTGTCCGTTGACCTCAGTGGTCTCTTTATTGAATCCTCTAGCAGCATCCTCCATTGTAGAAACGTACTAAAGGAAATCCCATCAACAAGTATTATTTCCCTCTGCTTCTTCCTTTCTCTTGTACCACACACAATATAGGTAGCGTAGACAGCCTGAAGATAAGCAGAATGGAAAGTGATGGATCATAAAGACAATATTGTAACAGTAAACTAGCTCCACAGCAGCTGTAAATTAAACAACTCTGTCTTCTTACTAACACCATGTTACACTTTACATTGATAGATGACTTTTTAAGATTTATTTTTGCCTTTTCTGTGAAAAGGAGTGACATGCTGAGTATTGATTTCCCCCCCCTCCTTCATTTTAATTTGCAGTTATCTCTAGGCAGCAAATAAAATATTATTCTTTCTGCTCTTAGTGACTCATGGTGCTAACTACTGTCATTCTATAAACGGATTCAGCTAAGCTGGAATCTTTTTAAGTAAAAATCACTTGCATAAGAGCAATCCTTGTGAGAAGAATGCAGGATATTATACAAGAAGCCCCTTAACGTTAAGAAGGCTTCTGTTTATCAAAGCCACGGCTTCGGTAGTTCTGAAAAGCACTTCTGGGAAGTCTCTTTAAAGTTACTACTGTTTTCCAAGGGTAATTTTATATGCTTCATTGTGTTGCCTGCAAACCCAGACAGTATATCATTATCTAACATTTTTTTTTTTTTGAAGAAGGATTTTTCTGATACTGACGTGCTATGGGGCTTTTGCTGGAAAGATACCTCTCCCTAATGCCCCCTCTTTCCCGACCAGGAGAGCGCTGTGATAAACTTTCTTCTGTCTATGATAACACAATTTTTTTCCCAAACCTTTTGGTTATGGATGCTTTCCTTTTATAAGTACATCATGCTGAACTACTGAAATAGGCCAGATCTCTTCTTTCTGTACCTTCCTTGGATTCCGTGTATTGTTGTTGTTTCATAATTTTGTTGCCTGTTAGTTTGGCACTTCTGAAGATGCCTGAACTTGATTTGAAGGGTGTAAGAGTTTTGAAGCATGCTGCTACCCTGATCTTTCAACATTTGCCCTCTCTGCTGTGTCTGGGATGTTGCTAGCCCAGGAAAGTAGTTGGCAGCTAAAAGAAATACTAAGGGCTGGCTTAAGATTTTAAAATATGCAGTAGTGATGTCATAAACATGGATGTTACTCCATCTGTCCTGCGCTTTTTGTCATGCGATCTCACTGTTTGTTCTTCCACGTACAAGATGGGATCCACGCGTTACCTGCCTTGGCTGCCATAGGGGAAACACTGTGGTGTCAGTACTGTACTGTGAGTCTGTGAAGTGCCACGTGTAGCCCTGATCTAGGCAGGATCCTGTGGGCTGAACTACAGGGCAAATAAACATAGGAAGTCGGTAGAGCATTCTTGGATTGATTCAGAGGGCCTTTAAAACACGTGCTTGCTCCTTGAGGTGTTACTTGATTTGGAGCTTGTTTCTCCTGAACAGATTCTTCTTTTAATGTTCCAGTAGTTGAGGTCCTGGCTATGGCTTGGTCTGCTGGGTCTGTTTTGGGGTTGGTTTTTTTGTTTGTTTGTTTTCCTGTAATGGAAAAAATGGAATCTCCATGTTAGTTGTGGAAGTGCAGATTATAGAGCTTCACAGCAAATGTTTTTCTCTGTAACACTGATGTATTTTTCTTCCTCTTTGCCTCTTCACAGTGGGAGGAAGTAAGCATTATGGATGAGAAGAACACTCCGATCCGCACCTATCAAGTCTGCAACGTGATGGAGCCCAGTCAGAATAATTGGTTACGAACTGATTGGATTCCCCGCGAGGGGGCTCAAAGGGTATATATTGAAATCAAGTTTACGCTAAGAGACTGCAACAGCCTGCCAGGAGTCATGGGAACTTGCAAAGAGACTTTCAACCTTTATTACTATGAATCAAACAATGATAAGGAGCGTTTTATTCGAGAGAGCCAGTTTGCCAAGATCGACACCATCGCTGCTGATGAGAGCTTCACCCAGGTGGACATTGGTGACAGGATCATGAAGCTGAATACAGAGATACGGGATGTGGGACCACTCAGCAAGAAAGGGTTTTACTTGGCTTTTCAGGATGTCGGTGCCTGCATTGCTTTGGTGTCTGTTCGTGTCTTCTATAAGAAGTGCCCGTTGACAGTTCGAAACCTGGCACAGTTTCCAGACACCATTACCGGGGCTGATACATCCTCTCTGGTGGAGGTTCGCGGCTCCTGCGTCAACAACTCGGAAGAGAAGGATGTGCCAAAAATGTACTGTGGGGCAGATGGCGAGTGGCTGGTGCCCATTGGCAACTGTCTGTGCAATGCTGGCTATGAAGAACGTAATGGTGAATGCCAAGGTAGGATGAGCCATATTGTACTCTTCATTAGGGCTTAGTTGAATGCGTAATTGAATCGGAGATGAGAGTAAATGGAGTAAAGCCAGTAATTAGCAGCCCCTGTGGGATGCAGTGGGACAGAGGGGTTTAATGAAGAAGTCCAATAGCTCCAGGTGGCAAGGCTAAGAATTATATAATGCAAAACAAATGATACTGCCATAATAGGCAGAAGGCGAAACACATTTTCTAGCAGGCGCCTAAATTTGAATTGGCTCACGATAATCACCAAAATGTGAATGCAAAACACTGCAGTTGAGCTACCGTCATTTAAAGAGACAAATCTTTAAAGTTTTATCTGAAGTGAACTTTGTTAAGCACAGGAAATTCTGGCAAAGTCTCCTTTGGATAATGCAGTGGGGTAAGAACCAGTCAGGGAGGGGGGGAACAGGAGTTTTAGCTGGATTACTTTCCTGCTTTGGGAAGGGGAAGTCTTTTGGTGTTTTACTTGTTGCAAATTTTTAGCACTAAATAACCCTTTGATATTTGACACTGCTGCCTTTGTTAAATATTTTCATTTCTCAGAGGGTCTCTATTGTCAGCTTAATAATAGAGGTGCTAGGATACTCTTAGAAATGCTAAAAGTCTCCACCCCACCCTCCCACACACACCATCCTGTGTGCAGCAGAATTGGGGATTAAAGTTTGTATAAAAGACAGATTATCCTAAAAAGAAAAAACCTCGAAACCTGTGTTCTCTTTACCTCCCCTTTCTGGAAAAAGAAGTTGTAAAAGGTTAGGGAAGGAGAGGAGGGAGTGGGAATATAAAATAAAATATCTTTAGCCTCAGCTTCTAATCTTTTGCTCGTGCAAGTGTAAATTAAGATCAAACTTAAATGAATTGTTGCACAGGCTAGTGGGCTTAAATTTGTTGGGTGCTGAATTGGAGGTGCTTAACTTCATAGTGGATTTAGACCCATGTTTTTGGAAAAGGCTCTTGAGAGCCAGATGACTTCGCTTCACATCTTCTTAGTGTGTTTTTTCACTAGGTCATTTTTTTCATCTTCAGACTGAGTACAAGAGAGCAGAGCAAGTTACTGATTGCTTTTGTGCTATACTCCTAAGAGAACAGTGTCTTTTGAATGTCCTACTTGATTTCTTTTAAATGATAATTTACTGTCAATATGAAGTTCATTATTATGCACTGAAATTAAGCTTTGGCAGGAAAGAAGCACTAAGTATAAACTTCGGCCTTCATTTCTAGTGTTTTTGCTATATGGAAAAAGCCTAAGTGTGCCATATAGGCAACAAAATTACCACTGGCTGAAAGATGAGCAGCACGGTGACAGGGCATCCTGTCTGGGGTAAATTACTGTGTCTTTTTGGAACCTTGTGAGATGGAAACTTAAACCTGTGTGTTGTTAAACAGGTGAGCCTGTGGCTGTGGTACTGATGGGGTGCTGCTGGGGAGAGCCCTTGCTGGCTGGGGAGATGCTGTTACTTTCCAATAGCTTGATAACTTTACAGGCTGGGTTGTGAGAGGAGGAGGTGAATGGAGGAGAAAAAAAGCATCTTGGTTTATTGAACGGAGACTGTTCCGCCTTCTCCTAAAGGCCTGTTGGGTCAGTACTGGGTCATACGGACTGACACAGATCTACCATTTTTTGGTGTCAGTGGCCCAGACATGATGAGTTAATTGCTTACCAAATCCTGTGTTGTTTAAGGGGAATCTCTTGAGCTTTTGCTGGCGGGCAGTGGTGATAGTGGTGTGGGTTTTTTAATTTATTTTTGTGGTGTTGAACTAGACCTTGAGGATAAATGTCAGCTTACCTGCTGGCTCTCAACTGCACCTGGGGAAGGTTAGGCTCAGGAAACCCAGTTCTCTGTTTCCCAAGTAAAAGGAAGATGAGATGATGCCTTATTTGCAAAGGAGAGAAACTGTTCTGTCTCTTGGGCTCTCCAGAGTGAAGTTGGCCTGTACTAGTCATTCTGAGAGGATTTGAGCCAGCATGTAATTTGAAAGCACTAAACCCATTTCATCAGCAATTATTTGTGGTTTCCTTTTCTCACGTTTGCCATTCTCCAGCCAGAACGGTTTACTGGGAAGCTCCTCTTCATGAATTCTTGAAGTTTACCAGAACTATGCAGCTTGGTCTCTGGTTTCCAGTGAGGCTGTTAAAGCAGTTCGGCCTTTGACACTGCTGAATGAGGCCTCCCCTTTTCTTACCCCGCTCAACTTCATCGTTCAGCAAATGTTCTGCTCCGGCAGGTTTTTGGAGGGGAGGAGGAGGATGAAGTGAGGAGGATTCCTGTGGTTTTGGTACAGAGGATTGGGGGTGGGGGGAGAGACTTTGAGTTTGGGAAAGGCTGTAAAAGGGTGCCGGGCAGGGACTGGAGCTGGTGAGCAGGTTCCACCTCAATTGTTTTTCAATAGGTTGACTGTGGCAGGACAAATACAAGGAAAGGTCAGAGGTTGTCCGTTTCCTCATCCATCTTCCCCTGTGATCCTAGGGTCAGAGTTAGGATTGATTAAGATCTTAAATGTTTGACAAAAGCTCGGTGGGCAGAAATAGTTTAGGCCAGTGGATTGGGGCTTTGCACTTGTTGGGAGATCCATGGGAGACGTTGGAGCTCCCTGTCCTCTCCTGGGACCTGCCCCCTGCCTTACGGTGCTGGGAGGGACCAGCCACTGCTTGAGTTGCCCTAAAAGCTGCTTCAAGTTCACTCAACCTTCTGATTTTTAAATAACACATTTTCCTTGAGCTGCGTTTGCTTAATTTCTGATGTGTGTGTGGGAAGCGTAATGGGAAGCCACTTCACATATAAAGTGGTTCCTGTAGTGGGAGTTAATGACTCTCTGACCTTGAACAGGATTTTTAAAAATTGAGTCGCTTATATGGAGGTGTTTGAATATGATGACAAAAACCTGACCTTCCTCTGACTGCTTTTTTTTTTTCCAGCTGACTTTATTGATGATAACGTGTGTGTGTGTGTGTATGTATATATGCAAAAACCCAAGGCAGAAGGGGAAAGGAGCCAAACACTTAATCCATGTTTATCTGGGAAGCTTCACAGTTATGTCACGGGAGCGATTCTACAAAATCGGTCCTGATCAGTAGAAATAGTAGGTGAGCACCGATTCTTTGCTTACAGCTGAATTTGTAACTGTGAACTTGGTGCTAAAAAATACCCCAAATTACTGTTGTGTGGTGGTTGTTTTTTTTGCTTATTACTATTTACTCTTCCCCAAACTTCCTGCATTAATGGCTATCCATTTAGGAGAGCGTAAATGTGGAGTATTGTTGATGGAACATAAGTATCCCAACTAGTGGCACATCTCAAGGCTAAGGTAATTTGCTTTAGGGCGAAGTTGAGACATAAAGTCATTTTAAACTCTGCTTGTATGCATCATTGTTATGTAAAATGTTTTGTTACATATTAATAGTGTGGTTTGGGTTTAGTTACGATTTCCTTATGATAAAATGCATATCTTTTTAACTCAAAGGAGGAGGGGGGGAAATGAGCAGGAAGGGAGAAAAGACAGATTAAAGAAGCAATAGACTGTAGCCATCTGTGATGATTTTGATGCTGTGAAATTACAAATCTCAATTTTAGACCTGCCATTTAGTATAAATATGTGAGACAGTTGAGATTTTTACTGTGATATTGTAAAGGTTATGAGAGCCAACAGCTTTGTCTTCATCTACACTTGCTTTTTTGAGTTGTGAATTGGCCAATTGGCAGAAAATCCAGTGTCATTTAAAATATGGCTCAGTCCTGGTTTCATATCACTGCTGTTTTTAGAATTTTCCTTCGAACTTTGATAAGAGCATCCCTAAGAAGTAATAATTTGAATGATAAGATTCTTTTTATCTTGGAGGCTTTGAAGAGTGGCTGTGATCATTGAGAGCAGCAGTTCAGTTTACATCAGAAGGGTACGGTCTAATTATTTTTTTTTTTTCTGTGATAAGATTTTTGGATGGTGGGTTTTGTGGGGCAGGGAAGCAAGTAATTTGTGTGTGCTTTCCCATTTTAGTCACAGACAACTTTTTTTTTGTCAGAATAACGCTGATGAACAGTCTGGCTGCACAAAAGGGTAATCAGAAGGGTGACTAAGACTGTGCAGATTTGAGATTTCAGAAGGATTTCTTCAGGTTGATTATTTTTGGCAGGCGGGGGGAAAAATGCACAGACTCAACATGTTACGTTTTAAAAGGAGCTGAGAACATGGAAGCTACCAGGCGGGGCATGGGAGCGATACTGAAACACAGTCTGTCTGAACCAAATTTAGTTTGATATCTTCTCTGCCGAAGAAGTGATTTGGTTATGTTATGTTCTCATGTAGCTCAATAGATCTTCCAAGGGTTGCTCCCTCTGTGATTTTTGTACCACCTGGTGCCTTTCAAAATCTGCATTTAAACATTGTTGCTGGCTCTGTGCTGCTTTCCTCCTCCCGGGCCCCCTCAGAAATGAAGCTACAGTTGTCAAGCAATTGTCCCTTCACATATCCCTTGGAGAAAGGCTGGGATTGCTTCCTTCTGAATTCCGGACAAAATTTCTGCTGGCACACAGGGGAACAATATCTGGTCCTTATTCTGCATGTTACTAGTAAAGAGCATGGTCCTCAGAATCAAAGCCAGATGAGCTGTTGTGGTGGTATGAATTTCATGGTAGGTCTGAGTAGACTTTTGTGGGGCATATAGCCCATCTTCTTTCTTTCTTTTTTTTTTTTGTATTCTCTTCTTTTTTTTTTTAAAGAGGCAAAACAAAACTTTCCAGACAACTCATCTTGTGAGTGATGACTTCAGTATTTAGATCTTGGCTGGGTAAAGGTTATTATCTGTCTAATAATACGCTCTACTGAGCTTGGTGTTTATTGTGCTTGTGAGAAGTGATTAAAGAAATGCTCAGCAGTACACTTCAGTCTTTTGAGACTGCATCAAAAAGCCCCCCAAACTTGTGAGATAAATATCTTATCTGGTTTCGTTCCATTATGCCACATCCTTTTGATATGTTGTGGGGAGC